AAATGCACCAGCTTCTGGAAGCTGGAGGGCTGCATTACAAATCACACTTGAAATCTTAGCAACAGCTGTAATAAAGTAACTGGTAATTTAGAACATTATTTTAGTCATTGAGATTACATAGTCATTCAGTAACTCCTCGCAGTCAGTAACATCTTTCAGTCAGTCATTCAGTAATGGCTTGACACTCTCCTTATGAGCTGATTTTTTCTCTTTAAATAATGTTGATGGAAAAGAAAACAAAGGAAAGGACAGCAAGCTGCAGGCACTGTTAGCAACTGAAAAGGATAATTTTTGATCAATGCTTTTTTTTTTTCCATATGTGTGAAGAAAAAGAAACCTAATGGTTTTGGTTTCATGCAAGGCAGTCTTCAACTGATCATTCAATCCAGTGTACTTCCTGGAGTTGCTGCTTCTGCCTTCTTGCAAATAGCAATAACCTCTGCTAGAAAGAAATCCTTAAGGCACTCCTAGCTAGTGAGACTGGAGTATTTTTGAGTTTAAAGTATTTTAGAGCTGCAGCCCAAGCAAATTAATCTGTCCTGGTTTTTAAAGATTCCGCTCAGTGTCTAGGTTTTTGCAGCCAGAAGCAAAGGACCACCCATCTGGATGTGGATGTAATCCAGTGGGTTTAAGTATATGCAGTAGCTCACCCTGGATGCTGAAGAAAAAAGGACAGTGTTTTGAGCTGAAACTAGTGACAACTGGAAGATCAATTGCCTTCTCAAGTAAGATTGAGTTCCAAAGATATTGTCAGTCACTGTTCTAGAGAACAACAGTCCTCCATTTAAAAATTTCCAATGCTTGTAAAGGAGAGGGAAGGAAACCAGAACATTGTTAAATGCTCAGATTAAGATCTGCACACTTTTCAGAGAAATGGAGCATATGCAGGCAGTAAAATGGCAATACACCACATTATTTTTTGGGTTTTTTTTTCTTCTTGGAAAGTCTGCATTTTAAGAAATTTTTTTAAAAGACAGAAATAAAGAGTCACTTTGCTTTCAGATTTGTTATGTATCAATGTAAAGCTCCCACTTATTTGAGAAGGAAGCGAACTCAATTTTATACAGAGAACACTGAGACTATTTTTTTTTCTGCAGCTCCAAATCCCTCCATATGATTTAATTAATTATTTCTTATTGAAGACTTTAAAATTATCTTTGTTTGTTTAACAATACTACAAAGGTCAACAATGATAAATTATCTTTTTGGGTCAGCTTATTTGATGTCTTCACCAAAGACTGTTGTCCAAACTTGAAATACACCTTATATCAGTATTATTCATTAAATGGAATTAAATAAGCCATTCATGGTTATAGATAGGAAGATTTCTCAACTCTGCATAGAAGCTGTATTCTTGATTGTCCATCACTGGACAATCAAGAAACCTGTTCTTCATGCCTAGCATCAGCCATCCCTGTGGTGTGAGAAGATAATATCCTCCTGCTCCTAAACATAAGGAAAAGGGAAGCTGTAGCTGAGCAAAAATGAAGCAGAGAGATTCTGAACACTAGGGCAATGACTTTATCACAACACCATCTGTTTTAAAACAAGAAGGCACAAGTCATTATGACAACAATATGAAAAAAAAACCAACCAGCTCCTGCTATTTCCTGTTCAGAAGTTCCTCTAAAAATGAACTTACCTCCTTTTAAGAGAAATTAAGATAGGCAATCTTAACTGAATGCTTCCATATTCTCTTGTTTACCTTCTAGTTATTCATTCAACCATGGGTCACTATGCTGGAGGCAGAGATGAAAAGAACTCTTTCCTGCTAACTTGTTATATTCAGCAGGTTGAGACTGTTACACTGGCAGGTTACAGTGGTAAGGTCCAGACTTTCAAACATATCTGCAGTTTTGAGTACAGAAAAATGTTTTGGAGCTAATGCCTAATTTTAAAAAATGACCCTTGTATTCAATATATTATCTGAGTTTATTAT